GAAATTGTCTTATTTATTTTGTGAAATGAAACCTCACACATTTAAAATAAGTCGTTGTACTTTTTATACACATTAATCCTTTTTCGAACTCTACAAAAATAGTAAGCCAATTAAGAGGAAGAGATAGTAAGCTAAAACAGCCAAAAGGCAAAAGCGAACTTAAATAAACGTATCCGACTTAAAAATGTTCATAAATAAAATATTTCTCACTTTTTCATTCTATTCATAACATGGCCATTAAAATTATTGCAAGGATATGTTGCATGAATAAAAGGACAAAAAGACAATTCGTAAGCCGAAAGCTTAAAAGTTGAATAACAATTTGCTTTTAAATATTTTCTTCTTCAAGCCAACACTAAGAGTAATACGGCCGGTGTCATATGAAAGTTTATTTATGTTCGACAGACCGCCGAAAAAAGGTTTTATTAAATATATGCATATATCATGTAGGAAATCTCGTTGTAAGCCATTAAAGAAATATATATTTCGTTTTAAAGAGATGTCAGCGTGTCTGCAGTGCAATATTTATTTATTGCATTTTCCATCTCGTTTATTAAATCTCAAATAAAAAAGTGCATAATATATTCGCCCTTTGTTGATTTATCTGTGACATGCAATTTAATCCGGACCAGTTGAAATAACTGGGTAAAAAGCGGATCGAAAAGAGACTGCAGCCATGTGGCACATGTAGTTAGCGTAACCTGTTACCACATCCTCCTCGAAACGACAATAATCACAGTAATGCGCCAGATAACAGTCAAAATATCGAGAACGAGAGAGCGAAAAAAGGGCTCCGGGGACTTCAATGACAAATCCTGAAAGGAAATGCGAAAATAAAGTTGGCTATAAAGTTTATCCAGCCACGATGACGGGCCAGCTGAGGGGAAAATAAGAAATGTTTGGCCAAATAAGCTGTAATAACTGCTACTGCTGCCATCTGCACCCTCCCAAGGGCCACCCACAATTAGCGAAAGCAGCTTACTCAATAATTTAATAGAATTGATTATTATTTAAGTGCGGACAAGCCAATTTCTGGCCAAGGCGAAAGGGCTGCGAAGTCCCAAAAGGGTCGCAAGATAAATGCCTGGCCATCGAGGGTCAAGGGATTTTATATATCTTTATATATATTTATCTGGCTGGAACTGAAGCTGCCTGTCTGTTTGTGGCGGCTTCGGCACAATGGATGCGAGAAATCAATTTAAAAACCATCGGCCAAAGGGAGTTCCTGGATGCCTGGCTGCCTGCCTCTTGTGCCCGCCCACCGGACAATGCTGGCAATATTATACGTCCGGGTATAAATATTTATAACGCCGCCCCCCGCTGCTCCCTTTGACCGCCTGACTGCCTGTCTGCCGAGGAATTCAATAAAAACATGTGCAATAAATAAGAGGCCAGCAAACTGTAAATACCCGGCCACGTAGGCGTATACGCAATATGCGAATCTTCGATTCTTCAATTTCCATTTTGGCATTCTGTACTCTGCATTTGCATTTAAGCAACACTCCGCCCACCTATCAGAAATGAGTTCACACAATTAAGTAACGCATTTATCGCACATACACCACAAGCACATACAAAATGGTGTTTGGTGTTCGAAAGGACGAAGGAAAGGGAAGGGGCGAGGGCAAAAGTAATTCCGAGTGGGCGTGGCAGCCAGTTCAAGTTGCCAGCTCCTTAAAATTCATGAGGCGTCGCCTGCAACTGTAAATTGCATTTATACGCAAGTCAAACAGCACTCAAACCAACTGCTGTCGGGCGACGGAGACGGAGATGGGGGGCGACACATCCGGTGCTCTGTTATTTTTCACCGTGCAACATTTGGCCCGAACCCATTTTCCCCAATTTCCCCTGGCCCTGCTGAAGAAGCTGCTGTGGCTAACGAGGCGGGGCGACCGACCAGAAGCATCAGAACCAGAGTCATCAACACACTGTGATAAATCATCACCTTTAGCTGTAAAATTATTTTAAGTCCTTGCTACGTTTAATATTATTTAAGGTAATAAATTCTCAAGTGGTTTTTATGTAGATATTTTCAAGTTTTTAGAGAGTGCCGAGGAAATCACTAGGGTTTTAAATCTCTTTTTATAGTGTCTAAAACCAATTAGAAACCTTTAAAAGTGATTTCACGTTGCCAAAGGCTTATAAAATTTAAACTAAGTAAATACAAAATTTATTGACATTTTTAATGTTTAAAAATAAAGAAATTTGTATTGCAGAACTCTCATTACCTAATAATATAAGTATTTCTATTTCACAATTATTAATTTTAATCAAAAATTTCCTCTCAGTGCTGGAGCAGGAGCTGGTGTCCTGGTCAGCAGTTGAAAAAAGCATTTGGCGTGGACACACAGAAAAACTGGAGGCGGTCGCCGCAGGACGAACTCGGACTCGGTACATGTGTAAGGCCGAGCCAGACGTACAGCCATTTAGCCAGACAGCCGGGCAAACGGCAGAAGGACTCTGCTCCGGATGCAGCAACATTTGTTTTGTCTCGGGCAAATGGCCAAAAGCCCAAGAAATGGTCAACAAACATGGCCAGGATGTGAATGAGCTGACCAAGCATCCTATCATTTATTTCCAAGAGCAGGGCAAAGTCAACAGCAAAACTCTGTGGCATAATTAGCAAAGGACTTTGGGTTTCTTTCGCACATCAGCCGCCCGAGCAGAAGCACACACAAAAATAATCATTCAAGCCATGGCACAAAAAATATCACAACTGGGCTTTCGCTTCTTATGCCCTGGAAAATTGTATTGCAATTTGGGGTAGCTAAGGCGAAATTTAATTATGGTTAAGGGGGGAAAATATGTAAAATCTTCGGTAAAATATTGTCCTTAAATTACATAACAGCATCAAACGGTTTCGGGACAAAGTAAAAATACGAATAAAACTTACAGAAATCCCATCCATTCATTAAAATCAACATGGGGTAACTTTCATCTGCTGCAGACAGCTTACTCCACGAATCGATTGGGCTTATCTTACGGAAAATACGCTTACATAAAAATATATATACACAGCTTATGTAAACCAATGGTCACGATAATTGACGTATCCTTCAGGGTATTCAATCCTTCGGACCACAAAGCTGCCCTTGCGTATACGTGTTTTTATTTACTCGGTCTTTGCCCACGAAATCTGAGACAAGTCGCGACCGAAATTCCTCGAAGATTGCGATACGGCAAAAGAAGACGGCGTGGCAAAGTCGATTATTTTCGTCTCGAGTGACAGCAAACAAGTCTCAAATTACGGAATAGTTAACTGCCAAAGACGGAGATCGGGGGATGTTCGGGGAGGGAGCTGGGCGGCTGGCCCTGAATGAATGAATAAAATGAATGGCTTATCTCTTGTTGACATTCGTCTGTGACAACATTGACCAGTTGACGACTAGCACACGCACACAAAGGCTAAAGGCTCCCCACATATCCCCACTGCCTTTGTGGATTCGTTATCGCCTTCGTTTTTTACACTGAGAATATTAAATTCTTTTTGGGCAAATTATAATATTATTAAACTCTCTTCTATACAAAGAAAAAAAAACAGATATGTTATTAAAATGAACATTGAATGGTTTTTAGTTCACGAGGGAAAAATTTATAATTTGTAGGTTTAAGTTTCACTGAACTACTGCTAAAAAGTATAATCCGTTGACAAATTCTTCCACACTTAAACTTATGAGGTCAATACTTTATCAGATTAGTTACCTTTTAATAGAAAATGAAAATCATACACAGAAATTAATATTTACACATTTTACGACTTAAAAAATAATTCATATTAGATTAAGGAAGAATAAGCTTAAAATAATATTGATATTGATATGTAATTTTAATATTTTTGATATGATAAAATTTGATATTATATGATTTTATTATGACAAAATACATTGTATTTTTTTTTTCTGTGACTAAGGAGTGAAACTTCTGGGAGCTGAGTCAGCATCTGAGCATCGAGGGAACTTTTCTTCGCCTGGCCAGCCTCATAATTTGTGTGCATGTGTGGTGGTTGGCTGGGGTTCGTGTTTATTGTGCAATAAGCTGCTCTCACTTCCTTCTCCTTCGTCCTACGTCCTTCTTCCTTCTCCACCTTTCTCCACTTTGTGTGTGCGTAAATCCGCTTTTAATGAAAAGAAAACCCATCTGAGTTTTATGTGCTGGCTCCTTCGGAACACACGCACACATGAATACAAAGTCGTTATAGAAGAGTTTCTGTCGGTTAAGGAAGGGGCATCTTGGCCATAACAAAGGGGCAACAGTTAATGCCGGGCCAACTAAATAAATCTTGTTTTATTTTCCGAGGCATGTGAAGCTGCAAACAGCTGTGAGCTGCCCAGGCCATTCAATTTTAGTGCCTTTCCCCTTTATTCCCTTGCCCTTTCTTTGTCCCCTGGCAGTCTTAGAAAATCCTCCGAAATCACTAAATAATCGAATTGTTGGAGTTTCTCCACGAAATTATCGCATAAACAAGTCAATTTGTGCAGCTTTATGCAGGTTCCCTTGAGTGGCCAGCAAGGTCTGGATAAAGGTTTTTATCTTAGCGTTTACTTATTTAAAATGTTTATTTTTGGGGGAACTTCAGCTGAAACTTAATGTTAGATATATCATTTTAAGACAATTATTATTTTTCCAACTATATAAACACAAGCCCAATAGTTGATTTCCCTTTGATTATTATTTTGCGAAAAATGGTTGAAATAAAAATAAAAAAATATGTGAATGCCATGATCATGATTTTTTAGGTGCGGAAAATAGGATTTCAGACTTCAAACCAGCCCCATTAAAAATTGTGCTTTTCGATTTGCAAGAAAATATTATTTATTTAGTTTCAACACTACAGAACTCAATACTGTGTGATTAATACAATTGAGAATAGAAAAAAGGTAAGGAAAGAGGCTTTGCTGTTAGGAGAACAGCATTGCCAAAGAATTTAGTTTGGCATACTGCATCAGATCGTAGAGAGTGGCTAGAGTATCTTCATTGGTTTGTTGAGGGATCTTCAGGATTTACCAGCCGCCACCTCCATGCTTTCCACCACCACCTCCACCGCCGCCGCCTCCATGCTTGCCACCACCGCCATTTCCACCTCCGTGCTTGCCACCGCCGCCGCCTCCACCGCCCTTCTGCCAGCCTCCTTGGCCGCCTCCGCCGCCTCCATGCTTCTGGCCACCGCCTCCTCCTCCTCCTCCTTGCTGCCAGCCTCCTTGGCCACCACCACCTCCTCCTCCATTCTTCTGCCAGCCTCCTTGGCCTCCACCCCCACCGCCATTTCCACCGGCGGATACAACGGCAAAGATCACTCCGAAGAGGAAGATAGCGAGCAGAGTAAAGCGCATGATGATCTGGATATCCGTAACTGGTAGTGACTTCCAAGTAACTGATGAATTTAAGCCAACCGAAGCCCAGTTTATATAGGCACTGTCTCGGATCTAGCCAAGTCATGTTGCAGCCATGGCATAGGAGCCCAATGATCTTGATCTTGAGCTTGCAACCCACTAGGGAACCACTTGCAGTGCTCCATCATTAATCATACAATATGTAGCGGGTTTTGAGAGTCTCATTTATGTTTTAATTGTTGGCACAGAACTTGTTTTGCATACTAGAACGGATTTAAAAAAAAAACTAAAGATGTCAAAGATTAATACAATAATAGAAAATCATTTCAAAAATTTATGGCAATACAAAGAAATTTAATTACATTTTAGTCCCCAACTTGGCATCATATTACCTTCGACTCCATCAAATCTAGAAGACAGGGAAGTAAATAAAACAAATAGAAGGTCAATCTTGAAGTTAAATTGATCTTAAAGCCCAGCCTATTGCACTTTTACAATAAATAACTTTAATCTTTCATTAATCAATTAAAGTTCTCAGTAAATTAAAACATTTTTTAATGCAATTATTTTCAGAATGCTAAAATTGGTTGCTTTAATACATCCTTTTTACGAGGCAGAGGCCTTGGGTGAAATAAAATTTAAGCAATTTTCACTTTTCATTTTCGGCAACTTTCGCTGTGATTTATACGGCCTTCCATCGTGGGCTCCTCCGCGTCTGACCCATTTGCCTTTGACCCAGAAACTGAAAAATGAAAACTGAAAAACTGAAAGCCGAAAAAGCGAGCAGCGCATCCTGCTCCTTTGGATCGTTCGTTTTTTGGCCAGAAGTCGGCGGCCAATTCAATTGAGCAGCTCGCCCACAGTGGAGCTAGACTCCCGCCCAGTTCGCAACTTAATTCCCGCCCCACTTTCGGCATTATCAGCTGCAGTGCAGCATCTGATTTACGACCGGCAACTGCGGCTGGGATGGCGGCCATTCAAATGAGTTCTGACGTGATTGTAATAAATTGTCGGTCAACCACGAGGCGCCTTGGCCCCCCCACTTCCACTTTTGCTGACCACAACAGGCTACTTCGTTGGTGCTTTCAAATTTATATTTTTCATAACTTTTCCATAAAGCGAAGCACGGGATAAGCAGGGCCAACTTTACTTGTGAGATGCAAATAAACTAGAAAAATAAATTTATATGGAAATCTAAAGGCTTTAGTTTGCACACTTTCGTTTTCATAAAGTTGCAAAAATATTGTGTGTGCACTTTTAAAGAAATGATAAATCAAGTGTATTAAAAATAAATTAGTTAGATACATTTTTCCTAGTGATTTCCCCTTTGTAAACATGTTAGTGCCACAAAAGGGAAATAATTTAAATATATTTTAATTGGCTCTGTGGTTGATCTTGCCCGCATTACGTATACGCCGCATGTGTGCATTAATTAAAAAATCCTGGACAAACTCCCCAGCGGCCTAAGCAAACAGGTTGATTAGCAGCTGGGCTAAAAGTTGAGACCACAGCAGAATCCCTGTTTGTTCTCCTAGTCGCAAATGTGACTAAAGAATAGGGAAGAGGAGCAAAAAACCCGGAAATGGATAGAATAGGAAATGGTAATTTGCATAAAAAGGTTAAGAGCATTAAATGTATCCCAATTTTCAGGGACAGCAGCTCCTGGCTGCTGACTGGCATTTGGTCGTTAAGTGCGCTCGCAAATGACAAACTAGTCGACAGGACACCAGGATCAGGATCCTTTGTCTGCTGAGTCAGCGGAAAAAGAATTTCACTTAAATATTTGGCACACTCTCTTTCGCTGCTTTCCCCATTTCGCCCTCTTGGCGGTTATTCAAAAGTTAAATCACAAAGTTTGGCTGGCCAAAAACAATTCGCGCGCATTTAACCTGAACGAAACAAAAAGTTGTTTTGTGCCAGAGCAAGGGGGAAAATGGGAAATGGAAAATGGGAAAATGAAGAAACGGAGAAAGGCGAATGCTTCAAAATATTTTGCAACATTTCTATTTCGCAAAAGTTTTCCTTTTGCGGTAGCAGTTTTGGGAGTCTGCCACTGACATGACTGCTTGTTAAATGGAGGAGCTCACCTCCTGACTCCCCTTTGACTCCCCAGGACATGGCTCTAATTAGGAGTAGGGCCAAAGACAATCCTCGCTCATAAAAGTCAACGGAGCATGTCAGAAGCAATTTATGTGTGTGGCTGCCACTGCACACGACTCGAACTGGAGAACTGGAGAAGTGGAGAGCTCCAAGTGCACAACAAATGCTCAAAAGGCATAAATAAGTGGATGAATGGTGAATGGAGGAGGCAGTGCCCCATGTTTGTCACTTTGACAGTTGCAAATCCAGCAGACATCCTGTGGGGGTGTGTTGCCTCGACAATTAAATGGTAATTCAATGCATTGGCAGTTGTGGGTGGAAGAGGGAAAGCCGCAATTGGCACGACAGCTGCTCTGTGTTTCGGTTAATCAGCTTTAATCGACACCTGAGTCTGGGCAACCAAGTCCTTGAAATAATAAGCATAATAACCATGACAACCCAGGGCCCAGAAAATGCTAATGCCGCCCCAAAGAGAAATTAAATTTCCATTGGTTTTTACAATGCCAAGGAGGCCAGTGAAAATACCTACATAAATATAGTTGGTATATAAGCCAAACTGCTTACACGTGACGCACACAAACACACTGGGCCACGCGCTCTCCTGTTTCACAGGCAATGCAAAAGCCTCCTCAAGGTCACTGCTGTCAGTCTGTATGTTTGTTTCCATAACACAGATGTTTGGAGGAATAGCCCCCCTCCAACTTATACAAGGGGGCCACAACCCCTCGACGACGTGCGACCAACGCCTAAAAAAGCCACCACAATCCCATTCCCAAGTATTTTCGTGCCCTTACTTTATGCATCGCAGAGGCTGGCAAATATTTATTTTGGTTTATCAATCATACGCACCGTGGCCAAATACTGGGAACAGCAAGCAGAACAGAGAGGTGAACGCCGCCACTGCGCAGAATCGCCAACTTGCAGGAAAGCACGTGGTTGTTAACAGACCTCTGTTAGCCATGGCTTATTCGGGGGGCCAAGGCTAAGGCTGGTCCTCTGGTCCCTGTGGCAGTAGAAGTACAAAATGCAGGCGAAATCAGTACAATGGGTCGAAAAGTTCGATGGTGACAAGGAAATGCTTTTCGGAAACTTCAAGCCAAGAGTTTGCTCGATTTCAATGCACTTCTGTTGTTGTGAACCCCTAAAACCAACCAACCCCACTTGAATGGCCAATGTCCATGTCCAATGGAGCTTAGGGCCAATGTTCCACATCGTATGCAAACACCAACCGACATACACAAGAACCTACCAGCTTGGCCATCAATGAAGTCAAGTCGAGTTCAAAATTCTTGTCTGTGACCCAAAAGATGTCTGCAAGTTGTAAAGTTTCTATTGCCTTCGATGGCTCTCTAGCAGGGCCATAAAAAAAGCGTTTGGTAAGCAGACAGCTGAAATAAGATGATATATCGCTTATATTGGTAATCGCATTGGTATTGGCCAGGGATATTCGCCTGGTTGATTGCCCTGCCGTTAAGCCCACGCCAATTACTTGGCCAGCTGTTTGTCGACTCGTCTAGCCGAGGATTGCCTCAAATTCTGGGCCTGTGTGTAGGCTCGGCCTTGACCTCCAGCCACCTTTGAACTGTAAACTGGGCGTTGCCTTGGCGTAATATCTGCCAGTTGAGCGACTGTTTGCCCACCTGTCTGGCTCAGAATGATATTTTTCATGGCGCAGACTGCTTAACGGCCATTTACGAAGGTCTACGCAAGATGTGCATAATTTATAAGAATTATTGATGACAATGTTTTTATATAAAGGGTTTTATATTAGGGAAAATATACTTGTTTTAAGAGAAATAAAGTAGCAAAGAGTTCAGAAATTTTTAAAATAATTAAGTTCAGGAATAATTTTGGAAATGAGTATTAAAAAGTGTCTTAAGGAATTATTGTAACTGATTAGTGATTAATTCATATTTAAAATATGGAAAGTTTTACTGCGTTTAAATTTCCAAATGATCTGTGTTGAAATCTAAAAATCATAATTATTGATATTTAAATAAATAACTAAAAAATTCAGAAAGTTGCCATTAAATTATTTTTGTTAAATATACTTTAAATGATTATATTTTGTGTTCTGGTCTAAATTCTTCTTATTTTATCTTGATCTTATTCGGCTCTGGTTCAAGAGTGTTCTAAAGTTTCTGGCATAAGTCGTTTTCCCAAGGTAAACACATTTCGAAATTGCCGCAACGCGACTTCAAATTAAAAGTTAAATAAGCGCAGCTGGCAAAAGGCGGCGTGGGCAAATGAGATGGCTGAGTGCGAGCTGCGTTTAATGAAAAGCAATTAATCGCTTTATGTTAAACACACACTGAATCGGAGGCCGAGGAGAGGGGGAGGGGGAAAGGGAGGTAAGTGGGAGCCCGTCTGCTGTGCAAACAGATAAAAGCGCAAAATTGTTGACATTGCCAAGAGCTGGAATAATAACAAAAATAATAACAAAATGCCGCTTTTGTTGTCGTGTCCTTGTCAAACAGAATTTCCAACAGCTTTTCCAACAACTCGCTGTTAGCATACATACATTATATACACTTTTTCAATCAGCATCCACAGAAAAGTGCAATTATTCAGAGAAATTAAACGCTTTTCATAATCAGATTAGCGCATCGGAATGTGACAAAAGCACTGACTTATATCTCCATTTATAACTCTTTCGCTTCACCCTCTTTCTCTGACTGCCTGTCTGAATCGCTGACGTTTACGCAAAAAGTTGATGAATGCCACGAACGAAAACCGAAAAGTTGGCATCAAGTCAAAGGCAAAAGTCGCAAGGACAAAGTTTCGCAAGCCATAAATAATACATATAACAAGGACAACAACGGCGGGTACAAACAACATTGCACACAGCGCGTAATTTTAATTATTATGAACTCTGAAATGCGCCAAATTAGAGATTCATTGGGCTCGACAGGGGTGGTCGGAAGGGGGCGGGGTCGCAGCCAATTAGGAGGGAGGGGCAGCGAATCAGACAATGCCAAAAGTTTTCCCTTCGGAATGAACTTTCGCAACAGTTCATTTGTGTCAGTACGTTGTCTCACTTTCGAACGTACATGAGTAGCACAACTGAGGTCAACAATGTTGGAAAAAATGCCTGAAAATAGTTATACAATTTTCTCAATATGATATTTGCTGTTCATCTTTTTATGAAATATTTATTATATTATCCTAAAAACAGCAGTAAGGTGCCTTAAAGTATGCAACAACATATTTAGAGATTTTTAATTTATTTAATTTATTTTTAAGTGAAACGAAATATAAATCTATTATAATAAACGGTGTTTTTAAAATGCTTTGGGAATATAAAATTCTATATATTTTTAATGAGAAATAATTGTCATGCGTTAAAAGGATTTTTCTTGTTCATTACACGGTACCAAAAATCATAAAAAATTCTTCGAATCTATACACCGCAGTGCTATTGCAATGACCTCGATTGTAGGTGTGTGTCACGCATTCAAATGCTAGAATTCTACTCCAAGCCAAGCGCTCGAAAGCAATAGAAATTTGAGTTTCCTGCGTTCTGCGCTGCCAAGTAGGCAATGCTAATTGCAGGCCGCGCAATTCACCCAAGCGTGTGTGTGTGAGTGTGTAAGGATATTTCGGTGTGTGGGCTGTGTGCTCAATATCAAATTCATGTAAATTTAATTACGCATGCCTGCGTCGTGTTTAGATATGTATGTGTAAGTACTCCAGGGTCTGGGTTTTGGGTTTTCGGGCGGGGGTGCCGCAATCTTGTAGCTGATGCTTACGCATATTTGATTTCACTCGCAGACACACATGGACCTACGTACCGCCTAATTAAATTGTTTATTTCCCCAACAGAACTACTTAACAGCTGAAGGATTATGCAAAAGGTGGGCGTGGCCCGGGGGCGTAGTGAAATGAAGTTGTAGTTGCAGCTGAAGTTGCATCAAATATGCATGTTAATTCCAAACAGTGTTTCATCATTTGCAAACTTTCCTGGGCGAAGCCATTAAATCGCATATTTCGGCGAGCCCTGAGAATTTTCCGGACTTAGACTTGGCATTAACTTTTAATGCAACGCAAATTGCTTGCAATTAACGGCACACGGCAATTTTTGCTCTTGTATGTCTTGCATTTTGTTCGGAAATCGTAAAAGTAATTTGCAAAGTTTTTCTCGAAATTTTTCCAAAAAAATAAAGCCAAACTCAAAGTTTATGCAAAGTTTCCGACAAAGTGTTGCCAGCTAAACAAACTGCAGACGAGGGCCAAACTGAAATCTGCCACGCCTCCTGCTCCTGCCGCCCCGCCCCCAAAAGCCAGGGAAGATTTCTGTTTTCCTTTTCCCTTTCCTTTCCATTTGCCACCCCCGCCTTTGTTTATTGTCAGCAGCGAAAAAGTTATCCAGAGCTCCACTCCCGCAGAAAGTTAGCAAAGGGAAATGAAATGGAATTCGGGAATATGGATTCGCTGTATGGCACTTCAATACAATACAATGCATGTGTGTGTGTGTGTGTGCGGGATCGGGGATCCCCTATGGAGCTGCCCTTTAAAGTGTTGGCATAAATTGCTGGAGACGTTTTAATTTCATCCTGCCCGCCAAATGCAATCCCCCTACATTTCGAGCTCAGTTCCACAGTCGCGAAACTTTACGCATAAACAAAAGCCGGCTTTTGGCCCTTTGGCTCTTCAGTTCTTTAGTCCTGCTGCTCTTCTGGTCCTCCATCTTGGCTCTTGGCTTTTCTGGCGCTGGCAGCCAGCAACCCTTCACTTGCTTTTAGCTTCAAAATGAAGCGATGAAAGCCAAAACTCGTTATCGTTTAATTCAGGCGAACGGCGAGCCGGAGAATCCCTGGAAACGAATCCCGCCGAGTCGAACTATTGGCAGCTGTCTTGGCCTGGCTTCCTCTACTTTTTTGTATACCTTCTTGGAAAAATTTAAACAGTGCTTGCAAGATATGGGGAAAATTAAATACATTTTTTTAATTTGGCTTAAAATCACTAATACATTTTAATTTAATAAATTTACTAATTAAAGATAACTAATAAAATCGATGAAAAATTTTTCAAATATATTTATTTCTTAGAGTACAATTGTTTAGCTTTACTATTAGTACAATTCCTTTTGATTTTATAAACATTTTAGAACCAAAGGAAATCCCAAGTATTGAATAGCTTTCAGTATTTTATTTCAGTGTAACTGATGAACCTTCTGCTTGTTGTCTTAGTAATGCAACTGACAGCAGCGATGGATGATGGGATATTAGGGAGGCGGTGAAACGGATAGCAACTGCTTTTTGACGTCTGACAGGCTGCTCTCCAATCTCTAGAACCCAATCCGGAACCCGTACCCCAACCCCAGACCAAATCCCAAACCCACACCCATTTCCGATTTCCCATTTGTCGTCTTTCAGTTTCTTCCCCCGCTCGATGCGCTTTTGTTGCAACTTTCGAGCGAATATTTGCATAATGCAGCTTGATTGATGTTTGCATTTGGGGGCTGAGGGACGGCAGGGGGATCTCTGCAATTGGTAATGAAAAGCGGGCTGAGACTGAGCACCGAGTGCTGGCCAAGATTGGGGTGTAGCCACAGCCAGTTGAGGCTGAAAGCCCGGCCAGATGACGACAATGACAACAATCCACAAACTTGTAAACACATCACCAGGCGCCTTCATATTTGCACAGCTCGGAATCGAGGAATACTTTGGTATTTGGAATCCTGTCGAGGATGCTGGCTGCTGGGCCAGGGCAAAAACATCGACATCGCCATCGCCATTGCCATCAAATGGCAGTCGTAAGTAGCACAAGGCAACACCGCAGCCACATTTGTTGCCGCTGTTGAGTGCAAATAGTTTTGGGTTTTTGCTGCTGCTCCAGATGCCGTTGCCGTTGCCGTCGTAGTTCCAGGTCCTGGTTTATTGTGGATTCCCACCCATCCAAACAAGCAGCTGGCAGCCAGCCAGAGCAGTCAGAAAATCCAAGAGGGCGCCTGTTCCCTTTTGTTTACCAACATTCGCAAACAACATTTTTCTTTTGTACTCCACTCGCACTTGCTTCACCAAGTAAACCGAGCAGGGAACCCAATAGATTGCATAACAAATCGAAAGGGCATATAAATTATGGAGCCCTAAATAAGCTGGCATAACCAAATCCAATTACATTTTCACCGCTTGGTTCATTAATAAATATGTAGAAATTCTAAGAGCATCTTGACTATCTTGATTTAGTTGCTTCACAATGTTCCTGCAGATCGTTTTCATTTTCTTACTTACTTTTAATGACGTTTATATGTTGGCGAAACGTACCTACCTGCCTTTGCGTATGTTTATATCTTTAACAAAATATTAAATAATATTAAATAATTATTTATATTTTTAAACATTTTTCAGGTTGTGACGAAACCAACATTTATATATCCAGACCCTCGCTTATGGCCTCGTGTCTAAACAAAGAGGAATGCTATATTGTCAGACCAGTGGGTCATTGTAAAAACAAAGACGATGTCTGTTGTGTCAAGAAGCAAGGCTTTGATATCGATAAGAATGAGTTTCGTGACTGAGTAGGCGATAAATAAATTCCTCTTTCAAAACTGTCCATCAATGATGGAAATGTAAGAGTACCAAAATCGAAAATGATAGTGTATATCTCAAAGCTGGAGGTGGCATGTTCTCGGCTTCTTGCTTAATGTTCCCAGAATTCCCCGAGGCGGCCTCATTGACTTGCAGTCAAAGGACCTGGCCACGCCCCCCCAGCTGTTCCTGCGCCCCCCTGTGCGTCCTTTGCCGCTCCGGCAGCTTATTAAATGCAGCCGAGCGAAACATCAAAAGCTCCTCCAACTCCAACCGCAGCCAAAATGAGTGAGGGAAGAGGACACTCCATCCACAGCTGATGTTTATTAAATAGTTGCACGACGTCGTGTGTTGGCCATGCCCATTTTGCACTGGAAGGGGAAAAGAGAGGGGGAGGGGTGGCTACTTCATGGCTTAGTGCATTCCTGCAATTCATGCAATATTTCAATTTTGCATTCACCAGTTGCGACGACAGCAAGTGTTTCGTTCGGTCCACCCAGAATACTTCATCGGCCGCAGGGTTTTGGGGGGATCGGAGGCTGGGAAATGGGAATTGGGAGTCTGGGATCCTGGCAGCCATGGCAACCTTTAAACCGAAATTAAAACCAAACAAATGTCACGCCAGCAACGCAGCAAATGTCTCGCCCCTGCCGGTTTTTCCTCTTTTCCCTCTGGCACCCCGGAAAACACCCATCCGCCCTGTTGACTTAATGCAGAATATGCAAATTTCGCGTTTCAGGACTCTGCGCAGGCAGCCAATTCGAAGTCAGTTAACTTATTTTTACACAGCATTTGTATGCCAGCAATTGGTGTTGGCATTACATTTTTAAGCTGCAAATTGAGGTTGTTTTTGAATAACCAATTTATTCGCATAAATGGAAAATAGCAATAAGAAGAAAAGACCAAATTGTATTTTTGGCGTATACCTACTAAAAGTATGGAATATTGCACTGACATTTTATGGGCAGTATTATTATTTCTATATGTAATTGTGCAGATATCTATGAATCTGTGAGATAAATTTGAGAAGAAGCTGAATATACAATACTTTTTTTTATTTAATAAAATCGCACGACTATTATATAGCTTAAATACTCATATAAAGAATTATATATAGATGGGTTTTTAAAATTAAAATTTAAATTTTTTTTTAATTTTTCTCTTTCTTTTTTAAAGTTTTTAAGTTTAATCAAAATTTTATCAGCATTCGTGCTAGTTTTGCAACGGGTCCATTCATAAAATGATATGACTCATGAAATACAAAACCAAACGAATTGTTTTTAATTCATAAACTTCTTTTATAGTAATATATTCTCAAGACTCTTATCAGAGAACTTATATTTATTTCTTTAAAAGTCCAAGCGTCAACATTAAATTCTGCAGGGAATATGAGTAATCAGTTTCTCAGCTGGGTTTTGGATATATAAATTTACAATTTTCGGCTATCAGGACCAGTCGAGTTTTGAAATTCAAAGGGAACTGTTTTATTATGGTTCTGAAATTGTTCTTTTTACTTTTTGTGCTACTTATTCCAAACAAGTCTTGGGCAAATATTCCTAGCAGTGAAAATTTTGATACAAAAAATGTACTACTTATAACACCAAGTGTCCGGGTTTGCTGCCCCCGGAATGAAATATTAGACGACGGCGAGTGCAGTGAAAAGGCGAAAAATAAACTTGTCACGGGTAATCACTATATGAAAATGTCATTGGAGAACGGTACTACGACAATACTGTATCTAAACAAAGACGTAATCGTTCAAAGTGATTGGTTTGAGTACTGTGATGCATTTTACGACCTGACGGAAGATGAGCTCTTATTGTTCGAGGTTTGTCTTATGAAAAATCCTTTTATTTTGTTTATTAATTGAATTCTTTTAGAACGGAACTTTTGGTCTTCGGTCGCAAAAGTGGACAATGAGCACAGACACATTCTGTCTCTATGTCAATCCGTTCTCTTCAGACCATTTAAGGCAAATATATTTTGTCGCACACAGGCCCTGCGAGTATCAAAATAGGCAAAAGGCGGACCAAGAGATTAATGGTAAAATAAATACTTAGATTTAAAATCCTAAAGTATTTAAGTTTACCTTTTTATAATCCCCAAGTTGTCGCGATCTCCCTGATTTGCAATGCACTCACTATCGCAGTATATGTCTTTATACATAAGAAGCGAAATATAATCGGAAAATGCTTTATCTGCTATATAGTAAGCTTATCCTTACACCATCTTATGTGGATTCTGACCAGATATGGGAGTCTAATGAACGAGATGTGCACAACAGCAGGTTATTTATTTAAATTAAATATGAAAGCCAACAAAATACCAATCACCTTTTCACTTACAGGTTACTCTAGATACTTCTTTGCGACGTGCTGTATTCTCTGGCTCTTTGTTATCAGTCATAAACTAAGAATTGGTTTGCTAGCGATCAATCATAATAATGAACCACGTTATCTGTTTGTTTCCTACAGCGCATTTGTCTGCGGTTTAGCAGGTTTTGCAACCGCAGTTATATTTCTAATAGATCGAAATTGGTTGGGAGATTTGACTACATCTCAGTGGACGCCTTCTATTGGTTTCTTTCAGTGCTGGTTTAATCGTAAGTTTAAACTGTCTATGAATATTTGATGTATTGTATGATATTTACTTATATCTATATTGTTTGCAGCTAATGCCTGGTCTATACTCATATATTTCATTGGACCAATTCTGGTTTTAACCATCGCCAACTGGATAATGTTCGCCCTCACGGCCATTCAATTGATTAAAGTACAGCGAAATGTAGCCCAGTTTATACTATCTAGCCACAACTCGAACAGAAACTCGTAAGAGCTGCCGATTTATAACTATAAAACATGAAATTCATTCACTTCATACTATTTAAATATATTACAGATACCTTAGGTTAGTGCGAATCTGTGTGATGATGGGCACGTCTTGGGTCCTGGATCTAATTCCGTACTTTTATCGTGGCAACGTTTTTTGGCAATGGTTCTTCTGGCTTGCCTACTACTACCACTTGGCCTTGGGTGTAGTCATATTTGTTCTCTTTGTACTCAAGCGGAGTACGATTAAACTAATCACGGAACGGTAAGACCGTAAGCAACAGAATCCGGTATTTAAGTAATCGTATTCTTTTTTCACCAGAATTCAGTGTAGGAGGCGGCACCCCGTTGCCAATGTTTAAAGACGTCTTTATAACAACTTAAAAATTAATTAAATATTATTTTATTTATACTTATGAGTTGTTTCATAAGAAAAATGAGTTTTAAAAAAAATAAATAGTTTCGTGCACACATTCCCAAAGTCTAAAATACAAATTTAAAACTCTACGTCGCAAGAATTAAAACTCTGATAAGATTATATTTATTTGAGTGGGTTAAAAAGCGAATTGTTGAGATTATATTCTGTGGGGAATAAGAGTCTCTATAGATCGATTTCAAAATAAACCAATTTATTTATCAATGTAAACAAATTTATCTTCAATGTGGCACTCTGAAAGACTCTGAATATAACGTCAAGGTTCCTAGCATCAGTATTTATGATCTTGTTTAGTTTTTATCTTGTTTGCAGCTTCGCCAACGGGCTATAAATTAATCCTTATATTGCTAATTATTAAAATAAAACCTTTAAAGTAGAATTAAACTTTTCTAGCTTAACACTTATTATAATTCGTCTCAAAAGTAAATTTTATTTTTCGGTATTTAGTACGTGACTTTCTATCTTTCCTTCTTATGTTTAAGATCCCCCCGCTTTTCTCGTGTCGTGTCGTTAATGTTTACTGTTTGTCTTGTGCATAATTTGGTATGTCTGCCGGAGCTCCTCCTGAGTTTTCCGCATTTTCTTCGCCGCCTCCTCGGAAAACACATTAACGGAACTCACTTTCGCATAATGAAATTTTTGAACACGGCGAGCGGGTCGAGAGGGAAATTTATGATGCCTTGCCACGTGGAACAGGCCACAAAGGCCAAAAATCATTTTTCATTTCAGGGCAAACATTGAAATTGTTTGCTCGGCGGCTGTTAATTATGGTGTAGGCTATTAACTAAACGCAGCCCAAGGACGCAGAACCTTGGCTAATAGATGTTGTCATAGTGTTGGGCCTGACTTGGGGCACAATTGCATGTGACACTTTTGGCGCAACAATTTCTGCCACAAATTGCTGCAGTTTCGAGTCAACGTTTCTAGGCCGTTTACAACGGTTGGCTCCCTTCTTCCGCCAACCGCTCCCATTCCATTTTCCATCTGGCGCCGCTTACAAGTCACATTAATCAATTTCCCCGTCGCCTGTCAGCAGCAGCAGCCTCGAAATAGCCCCTTCGTCCCCATTCCCTCCCGGGAAACTCGGGAAAGATCCCGCCAGGCCAAGCGAAACCGAAAGCTAAAAGCCGCCTCATGGGCAAGGTTTCGGTTTCCATTGTGTGTTTGCCAGGCATATGCACAGGAAATTAAATAGGGAATAAAATAACATAGAACTATTGTTATATATTAAGTTTTCAGTGATTTTATATTGTTTAATAAATTAAAAAACATTATTTTAAATAAGAAAATCCCACCATTGACTCCAAATCAATTTCTAAATTTAAAGGCGATTAATTTGTCTTAGTGAATCTATAAAATTGGACAAAAATAAAAGAATTTAAATTAAACAAATTCCTAATCAACATAAAAGTAAATTTATACATATTTCTCAGCGTGTTGCATGTGAATTATAACAATTCTAGGAGCTCGACGCTCAGATCTGGTGTGGTGCATTTTTGGTCTAGCGCCAGTTAAAACTTAATTAAAACCATAACAAAACAAATGCTGCCAAACAACAAGCCAAAAAAAAGGGATATACACGCTGCAAAGAGGAAAACATTTTACTAGGAAACCCCGGAATAAAGTTTATGGCCAGAAACTTGGCGTTGGTCCGACTAAATCTTTGCCGCCGGAGCTTGCCGGCCACTTCTCCTCCTTGTTGTTGCAAATTGTGTTGCTTAAATGCAAAAATGCCAAAACAGAGGGGCAGCAACGGGGGGAAAATATGAGGAAAACACACAGCAAACATTTTCATTTAC